AGGTGAAGAACAAATCTATCTGGTTATGTATTTGGCAGTGCTTTGAAAATTATAAAATAGTAAATAATGTACTGCCTTATTTCTTCCATTAGCAAAAATACCAGTATTTATGTATAACTATGAACTTTTAGTTTTTATTTTTGTATGTTTTGAAGAGAAGTTAAGTATTTTTCTAGTTTAAAGCTTTAAATACAGAAACATATTTACTTATGGCAAACATTCAAACAATTCAGATACATAGAAAAACAGTAAAGTATCTTATCTTGCCATCCCCCACCTCTGTTTCCACCTACCTCCCCCTCCACAAAGATTTTCTATGTATCCTTTCTGAGTTTTTCCTGTACATTTACATACATAGATTGTTAAAGCACCTCTGTATATATTTTAAATTTATCATTTAATAATATATATTATAAGTAAACTTTCGATGCCACAAAAGAAATAGCACTCAAATATAGAATTTTCTTTTTTCTTCTCAGCAAGGCGATTTACTTCTATAGAAGGGTACACCCTTACAGATGGAGCAACGGTGAGTGCACACTTGGACAAGTGAGGGGAAGGGGTTCTTATCCCTGACGCACGTGGCCCCTGCTGCTGTGTGGTTCCCCTATTGGCTAGAGTTAGACCAAACAGGCTAAACTAATTCTAATTGGCTAATTTAAAGAGAGAGACAGGGTGAGTGGTTTGGCGGGAGTCAGGGTAGATCAGAATGAGTCAGGGTGGAGCAGGTAATCAGAATGAGTCAAGGAGGAGCAGGTAATTGGAATGAGTCAGGGTGGGGCAGGTGATGGAAAAAGGTTGCTTTATGAGGAAGTTAAGTTTAAAAGTAGGAGGCAAAGAACTGAACATACTGACATATTGATTCTTTGAAGAGAAATTTAAAACTCATATCTAATATATATGATAGACAGTTTCATGTCAGTATATATATAGAGATCTACCTTATTTACTGCATAATATTCTTTACTGGGCCATAGTTTATGTAACTTTCACTTCTGATGAACAATTATTTTGCTTCTAATATGTTACTGTAACAAACAATGCCCAAACCAAATCTACATATATTTTTGTGCACATGTATTGGTTTCCAGAGGTCAGGAACAAATTAATACAAACTTGATGTTTCAAAACAACAGAAATTTATTCTCTCACAGTTCTGGAGTCCAAAGTCCAAAGTCAAGGTGTTGGGAGTGTTGCTTTTCTGGATACCCTGAGGGAAGATCTGATTCGATTTGTGCTTCCCTCCTAGCTTCTGTTGGCTGTGGGACTCTTGGCATTCCTTAGCTTGATGAATCTAATTCCTGACTCTTTCTTCATCCAGCCTTCCCCCTGTGTCTCAAATCTCCCTCTCCTTTCACTTATGAGGTCACCAGTCATTGAATTTAGGGCTTACCCTAAATCCAGTATGATCTCATCTCAAGATCCTTAATTACTTCTGCAAAGACTATTCCAAATAAGGTCAAATTCTGAGGTTCTGAGTGGATATATCTTTATGGGGCCACTATTCGACCCATTACAGCATACATGAGAATACGTTAGATAGGGCAAAAAATATATATATATATACTGCTAAACTGCTCTTCAAAAGGCTGTAATAATTTTCACCTCCACCAACAGAATATTAAAGTACTCTCTCCCCCATATTCTTGGCAACTTTTAGCAAAACTGACATGTTAGGTTAAAAAAAAAAATGTAACATTGTTTTGATTGAATTTTCCTGATTTCTAGTAAGGTTAATCATCTTTTTATGTATTGATTGACTATCTGTACTTCTTTTGTTAACTACTTACTCAATAAATTTTGTCATTTTCTAAAAGACAATGTATCTTTTTCTTCTGAATCTTTACCAATTCTTAATAGTCAATGTTAATATTATACATGCCATAATTTTCTGCAAATTCATCACTTATTTGTTATCTTTTACTACATAAAGTATTTAAATAATTATTTAGTCAAATCTATCAAATTTTTCCTTTATAATCCCCAGGTTGTTTAACATTTTTAGATATTATAATTGCCTAGATTTTACGTGGTATCTCAAAGTAGGACAAATACAGACCTATGAGTTGCAGAAAGCATATTCTATCAGTTTGCAAATGCTTTACGAATTAGAAAATATTTGAGGAGCCAGACGAGGTCCTAGGCTAAATGAGAAAATATATAAAAGAGGAAGAGAAAAAAGTTGGAGAAGGGGAAGGTGATTCAACAGTCTAACAACTACTGATACACAACAATGATTTAAGGACTGAGAGGGAAAAGAAATAGAAGACACATTCACTCATCTGCCTTCCAGAAGTTTGCAATTCAGGTGGAAGCAAAAATATTTTAAGTAACTTTTAAGCAGTAATGACTGAAGAAAAAAATTGGCAATGGGCTTCAAGCCAATGAAGTCCATGGAGTTGACAGTTTACTAGGAAAGATAATTCTGATGGGTCTCAAAAGGGGTGGTGAGCTGCAACTCTACCTCCAAAAAATGTTTAAACTTTCCCTGAAGTGTAATAAACATAAAAAAGTACTCCTATAATAATTAAAAAGCTCCATGAACTTTTGCAAAATAAACTCACCTGTATAACCAGTGCTCAGCTCAAGAAAAAATACATGACTAGCACTCCAGAAGCCTCTCCCACTTCCTTCTAGTACTCCCCAAAAGCCCAGACTGGTTTTAGCTATTTTTGTATTTTGTAAAAATGGAACAATATAGAATGTACTTCTTCCTCTCAAAAACATGCTTGTGACACTCAAAGAACTGAACGTAGTTGTAGACTGTTCATTCCCATTACTGTATCATTTTCCATGGTGTGAATATGCTAATATATCCTTTATCCATTATACTGAAGACGGGTAGTCTGTATAATTACTAGTTCTAGGCTCTTATAAAAAATACTTCTATAAACATCCTAGAACATATCTTTTGGGGAACATGTTTTAATTTCTGCTGGGTATACACTAGAACTGTTGAGTCGTAGAACATACACATGTTCAGCTTTAGAAAATTTAACTAAATAGTTTTCCAAAGCAGGTGTAAAACTCCTTTAGCAGTGAATGAGAGTTCTAGTTTGCCACATTTTTGTGAACACTTGTTATTTTCCACCTTTTTCATTTTTAGCCATTCTGGTGATTACATAACAAACAAAATTATTATGGATAATATGAAACTCCAGATAACAGCAAATCTCTCACAACACAAGATTAAATAATGAGAAGTATGTAGCTTTTTAGAACAACAGAGAGATAATAGTGTTATAAAAAACTCATTTCACTAATAAAATGATGGGGGGAAGTAAACACTTATTAAAGAACAGACCAAAGAATTGCTCAATCATGGAGCCACCAAATAGTCCTTAAAAGTCGGGGGAAACAGAAGAAAAGACAAAGTAGGAAGCATGGTGAGTAAGTGACCAATGGTCTGGAAACTATAACCTACATCATGAGTTCTCTCATTAAATGTTATGGTCCATCCTTTTCTATAAAGACAATAGCTATTTTATTTCAGGAGTATGAGTTTCAGTAAATTTTTAATTAAAAAATAACATAAAAATATATTTCAGCAAGAACAGAGCTTTCCTATGTGCCATAGTGTGTATATAATTTCCTATCTGTACCATGGAAGATACATTTCTTTAAAAACCGGGCATGTACTTATAATTAAAAAAAAAAATACCAAGCACAATCTGTAATAATTCTACCATACATCAGTCTAATAATTAACTGCTTAAAAATCCCAGACTTTCCCTTAAACTATTAAAAGACATCCTGGAAAAAAGGGAAAACAATAAATGACTTCTATTTTGCAAGTGACCAGGACTAAGACGTGGCCTCAGCCACATGCTCCTGGAAAATGAGGACCATATCTTGCAACTTATCACAGCCCTTCTCTACAGATTTAGAAGAGTAGAACTCTTAGCAGAAAGTTCAATAAATCCTACTCGTCAACATGGTAGATCTGTAACTATTGACCAAACTCTTATATATGCTTTCCATGGAGCTGGTAAAAAAAAGTGATTAGGTATTTATATATTTAATTCTGATAGACCTAGTTCAAAATGCTTAATCAATTTTTAGTAAGACTTTGTAAACAGGCATAGATTAAAAAATTATATAAAAACAGACACTATGAACTTCAAGAATAAAATAGCCACAAACTATGTTCAAGATCATCTGTAAAATAGAGAAAATCTTTCTTTGTAAGTAAAGTTTTAGCTTATTATTTCTCCAAAGTTCACTGGATGAGATTTACATATGATTACTCCAACCAGTGAACCACAAAATGCTAACTCTTTAAAGACAGGTAAGTGGTGACCACTTCAAAAAAAAAAAAAAGCATGATGTTCTAGGAGTTTATTTGTTTGATGTTTTTCAGGTTAGAATATATAATATGTATAAGTTATATCTATCTTAGATATTTTATGCTTAACAGAGTAATACAGTTTATAAAACGTACATATTTGTAGTTGATTATGTAATTTATGAACTCTGAGAATTCATTTAATTAATAAAAAATTTTAAAGTGTTATGAAGTATAAAAATGACTGAAGCATACATAAGAGCTTTAAGAAACTATTAAAAATGCTAATGAAACACTGGAGGGAAAACAACCAGGAAACTGAAAGAAAACTTTTTGATGGCAAAGAGTTTTTCACTGAAAACACAAGAGTTGTTGGGAATGAAAAACAGAGTTAATGCCACAGAACTAATCAAAAATAAACACTGACTATAAATAATCAACAATCAGTCATCAATATGGAAAAGCATAGTACAGTGCCACAAGTGTGAATCTCTATTAAATTCCAGATAATTCTAAATTGTTTTCTTAAGAGATTATGATCAGATTTGTTAAGTACTATATTTCAACAGAATGGCAATGCTGCATTACAAGGAAATCACAGATAAATAAAATATGTTAACAGTATACAAGTAAGTACTAAGATTTTCTAGTCCAACGCATGTTATGTCAGGTACAACTAGTCACACTAAAAATAAAATGCTAAAAACTCACTCACTGTCTTCTGTGGGAAGGACCTGCAGGGAGTAAATCCACTCTATTATATCATCTTTGTTCACCACATCTAAGGAATCCAACATATCCAGCCCGGAGAGTGCAAAAAATGCAATCGTCAACCTAAAAGAAAAAAATGTAAAATTCCATCTTAACTATCAAACCACTTAAGTCTGAAGTCTTTCTGGTCTAGAAAAATAATAAAATCATTCTAATTTTCCAATATTTAAACAATACTTCCACCTTACAAAAGCATATATATATATATGTGTGTGTGTGTATATATATATATTCTTGTAACTTAATATTATCAGTCAAGCCTTTGTTTCAATTTTTCAAAAGGGGACATTTGGGAGTTAAGAAACCAGTCCTACCCCACTGACACAAACATGACCCACTAAAGCCAGAATATCAGCAAACTGAAGGCTAAAGTAGATTTAAAAAAGGATTCTCTACAACTAATCAGTACAAATAGTACAGGGCTTAGAAATATATGAAAATGTCAATTTTCACTAATTTGTCAGGATCAATTATACTTATAGCTTATATTAAATTCTGGAGGAATATGAGAACAGTATCTTAATTCAAAGCTGTTAACAAATAATATGACTCCTTGGGAAAAGATTTATAATAAGTTTTGAGAAATACGAAACATTTAAAAAAATACAAATGTACTTACAGTCTGTTTTCCCAGAGAGTAGCACTCTTTGGTGGAATGAAAAACTATAGAGCAAAACCTTCCCCCTCTAAGACTGTACACTATAAATTGGAAATCTAAACCTGTGCTTTCATATAAAAATCAGTATCTTACTGATTGCTGTGAACACAAAGAATCTGTTATATATAATTCTTTTCATGTTGAGAAGCAGTCTCTAGTATAGCTTGAGTACTGTTATATCACTTCCATAATCTAACAATTCATATGACTAATAGTAATAAATTAATATTTCAAATTATCTGGTCTAAAATTTTACAGCAGAGCTACCTGATGTATTCTGTAACCTTTTCAATGAAGATTTTAAGAAAGAATGAAGCCTTAATGCCCTGAGGTATCCACTGTATGTAACAAATTTACTTCTCTCCTATGCATCTAGAATAGTATTATCTATAGATAGACAGAATAGTACTACAGGTTGAGTATCCCTTATCTGAATTGCTTGGGACCAGAACTGTTTCAGATTTCAGATTTTTTTAAATTTTAGAATATTTGCATATACATAATGAGATGATATCCCACTGGGACAGGACCCAAGTCTAAATATGAAATTCATTTAAATTTCATATACATCTTACACACATGATGTGTGTATTTTATATAATAGTTTAATAATTTTGTGCATGAAACAAAGTTTGTGTTCAGTACTTATGTGTGGAATTTTTCACTTGTAGCATCATGTCAGTGCTCAAATCATTTCTGATTTTGGAGCCTCTCAGAGTTTTCGATTAGGGATGTTTAATCTGTACCAACTTTAGGAGAAATGAGAAAATAGTGATTTCTTTCTTTCTTTCTTTCTTTCTTTTTTTTTTTTTTAGGGCATAATTATCTCTCTGATCCCTGGTGGAAAAAGACTAGCAACCATCAGATAACAGGAGGAGATATAAGAAAGTGATTTAATTCCAACCAAAGCTTAAGGACAAAAACTAAAACTAAAGAGATTTGGGTACACTTAAGAACAATAAATATTTGGGAAACATATTATTGAGAGACTATTACTATGTATTAGTCAAAGAGCTGGGACATTTCTCATATATTATCTCAGTTTAATCCTAACAACACACTGAGATCTATCTGAATTAGAAAGGTAATTTATCTAGGTAAGATCAGGGCAGTGGAAGATTAAGGGCAGTGGAACTCCTTTATGTGGAAAGCAGTGTCGCACAGTAGTTCAAAGCTCAGACTCTGCAGTCAAATGACCTGGGTTCAAATTCCAAGTTGGCCAATTTCACTAGACTGACCACATGACTCTGGGCAGGATACCTAAATTTTTCTAATCAGCTTCTGATAATTATTTTAATCATTACTATACTTTATACAGTTATTGTGCTTACCTGCTCACAATAAGCACTCAATAAATGGAAGCCATTATCATTGGTCTGCCATAATTTGGAGGGACAGGAGTAACAATGACTTTAGGATCTAATTACACTCTATAACACTATAGGCCTTTTCTATAGACTCTCGGTTGTAACCATTTTCCCCAGAGGAATGTGCTTCTCCAAACACAATGATACTTTAGACATGGGAAAAACCTCTACATAATAGCAACCAAGTTTGAAAATCACTGCCCTTGGTGGTAATTATGTCTCATGAGATAAGGTCCACTTTGTTTGTATGCACTCAAATATTACTGAACTAATAAAGGCTCTGAAATACTATATCTAACCCTCCTGGAGAGCTCTAACAGGGTTTTTGGTTTTGATGTAACATATAAAGTGAATGATTATCTTTATAGTCAGGTACAATTAGCATCTACTAATGTAGTTTATTAAAGTGTTATTAAGGAAAAGGACAAAAAGAAGACAGAGACAAAAGTGGAGGAAAACATGAAGGACTTGAGGTCGGATAGTGGATAAAACAAAGATCTTCCTGTCAGTAAAAGCGATGTAGTTAGAGAATTTATGCAAAAGGCTATAAAAACAAGGTGGGATTTTTTTCTAAATTAATAAATTCAGAAATGATCTAGTCCATCTCTTTAATTTTCTAACTGAAGAAAATAAAATCCAAAAAACTCAAGTAATTTACCTGAAATTTCAACACTGGACAATCAAAACTACTCAAGAAGTCTAGGTCCCAAAATGGTGTTCTCCACAGGGGTGCTTCTCAAACCTGGCTGCTCATTAGAATCTGCTTAAAAATGACCAAAACACTACAAACATAACATAGAGATCAAGGTCCTACTTCACAATCAAATCTATGGGTGTAAGGTGGGGTCTGGGCCCTTTGGGTTTGTTTTTGTATTTAATTTCCCCAGTAATTTTAATGTGCAGGCAGGTTTCAGAAGCACTGTTCTAGAACAGTGGTTCTCTACTGGGAACACTGCCCCTAACGTTAACACATCAGAATCAAACATTCTTGGTTGTCACAGTGGAGAAGGGAGTTACTGGCATCAAGTGGATAAAAGCCAGGGCTGCTGCTAAATGTCTACAACACACAGGACAGGCCCATCATACAACCAAGAATTATCTCATCTAAAATGTCAATAGTGCTGAGGTTGAGAAAACCTGCTTTAAAGTCATACTCTTATCTGTATATGTTATCTGAATGATCTGTTTGTCATGTTACTTGCTCCTGGATATGAACGCACTATTTATATGTAAGTACCAAATACAAAAAATCAGCCATGTGATGGTATTTTAAAATCTTGCATACTTAATTATTACAGGCTCCTGAAAGTCCAGCATTTTCAACTCATGGATGAAGACTTAGGTTGAGACCATAAGGTTTATGAGATTAACAGAGTTATGGTGAATGGCTTATGTTTATAAAGAGAGGTCCCATCAGAAACGCTTGGCAGAAAGAACCAATAAGTCACTTTGGGGCAAATACCTGGCCTCCCTTTAAAATAGTCTGGGAAACCATTCCCCTTCCGATCACACCAGAATTCTCAAGTAGTCCTAAAACTGAAAGAAAGAATTAAAACAAGCCACAAAAAACACAAAGGAATTTTGGGCTGTGGGCCTCTGAGAGAAATAATATAATGTAGGGTTTTATGGTTCCTAGATGACTTCTACTTGGGAATAAACTGCTGGGCAACCTGACTCAGCACAGGTGTATAGAGGGGTAACTGTGCGAACACATGCACCTAAAATCAAGCCAGTGAAGTTATTTTTACTTTATTACTTCTTTCAGAAATATCTGTTTATTCTCTTTCTTTCTTCTTTTCCCTAGAACTCAATCTGAGTCTGCAGCCTAAGAAGTAGAAATAAGCAAGCAATATCTTTCTGTTCACCCCTCTTCTACCACTCTGAATAATATGTATAAGAAGTTTATCTTACAAGGATGAAAAACTAACATCCCCCAACCCCCAATCAAGTCGCTTTACCAAAGAATCAATTCACAGACAAGAGGGTTAACCTAAGTGTGTCCAAAAGATGTCAAATATTCCAGGCTTAAGAACACATATACCCCAAAGATAAAATAAGAACAACAAGAAAGCTGGGCGCAGTGGCTCACTCCTGTAATCCCAGCACTTTGGGAGGTCAAGGTGGGCGGATCAACTGAGGTCAGGAATTCTAGACAAGCTTGGCCAACATGGTGAAACTCCATCTCCACTAAAAAAACAAAAAGTCAGCGAGGCGTGGTGGCGGGTGCCTGTAATCTCAGCTACTAGGGAGGCTGAGGCAGGAGACTCACTTGAACTCAGCAAGTGGAGGTTACAGTGAGTTGAGGTTGCAGTGAGCTGAGATCGTATCATCGCACACCAGCCTGGGCAACAACAGCGAAACACCGTCACAAAAAAAAAAAAAAAAAAAAAAAAAAGAATGAAAAACAGTCTATAGTCTGGATAGTGGAAAAAAGAACTTAATCATACTGATTTAAGGAATATATTGAAAACACTAGTTTATGACAGTTGACTAGATTCCCAAACTTTGGATCGCTTGTCCTGACCCTTTCTGGTGCAACCCCTTCCTTTCCCAGTCTCTCCAAGTGTCTTAAACAATGGACTACATTCATGCCTAGATACCAGATGGGCCTATGGCTACATCATATTGCAGAGTTCTAAAATTATAAACAAGCATCTACATTAAGAAATAACACAAATAAAATTGATAACCATGTCAGTGAAGAGAGAGCCTTAGAGGATATATTAGACTTAATCATGAAGTTAAAATACTAGCACATAGATGCTGCCATAATACTTCGAAACAAATGACTGAAAGACTGCACGAATTCTGGAATTTGAAGCATTATTCTTCATTTACAATTGTTTTTCAATGGCTGATTCATCTGGTAAATACTTTTAAGTACAGTCACATATCTGTGAAATTATTTAACTTGTAAAATAGTTTTTGTACTACCATAATTTTTCAGTAAGAAACATCTACTGAACACCTACTAGAGATTAGATGTCACGACAAAAATGAATAAAGCTTCCTAACCTTAAGGAGGTTACATGTTAAGTGCTATTATAGAAATCATCTTCTTCCTTTCTCAACTGGCTCCTTTTGCCTTTTATTCTCCAGACCAGATGGTAGTTCCAATTCAAGAATCCTGGGACTCCTCCTTCTTCTTCATCCCCTCTTCTCTAGCCCTACTTCACTGCCTCAGCATCTCTCTCCTGGAGTACCACATCAGTGGCCTCATCGGTCTCCTTGGTTCTGGTCCTGTACCATGTGATATATGGCTATACAAATGACTATTCCTGTCACTTACATGATATCCAACTCATGTTTCTAGATAAGCACACAAAGCTTTCCATGATCTGATGCATGCCTACCTCTTTAGATTACATTCCTACCACATCCCTTTACATTTTGAACCACTACTAGAGAACTAAGTGAAGTTTTCTGCTCAACACTCACTTCTCCAGCTTTATTCTTCTTATTGTCCATTTGCAACAACAACAACAAAACACTGGAACACATTCTTTAAGATTTAGCTTTGCGGTTACTTCTTCCAAGAAGCCTTCTCTAGTCCCTGTCTCTCTTCAGGCGGAGCTACTTAGGTACTTTCAGAATGCCCTCAGAATATCACAATCATTTTGTGTAGTCAGGGGATTAGCCATATCAGAATCATCTGGGCACTTGTCAGAAATGCAGCATCTTCAGCTCACATTCAACATCACACTCCTCAGCTACTGCAATATACTTTAACAGACTGCTTCATGCAACACTGCACCTCTTTTGCCTACCATTAGATTTATAGTTCCCATAAAGTAAATTTCTAAGACCTTAGAGGTTCTCTGCTGCTCCTACACATAAAACACCATACAGACACTCCATTAAAAGTCAATAACTTTACAGAGGACAGGGATGCACAGGAGTATTCATCTAAAAATACAATGACGCAGGCTTATGCAATCAGAATCTGCATTTTAACAAGATCCCCAAGTGATTCACATGCCCATTAGAGTTGGGAATCACTGCTGTAATAACTGCGTATTTGTTTCTACTATAAGGCAAACAGTCTCTAACTTTAGCCTGCATTAGAACCACCTGAGATGCTTGTTATAATGCAGACTCCCAAGGCCCATACAGAATCCAGTGAAGGTCTGGGAAGGGGCCCAGGTATGTACATTTTTATAAGCACATACAGGTCATTACTTAGAGCCTCCGACCACTACACTTTCAAAGATGTACTGCTAGACTGTGATATATTTAAGACAACGGGGGCGGTGGCTCATGCCTGTAATCCCAGCACTTTGGGAGACTGCGGCGGGTGGATCACAAGGTCAAGAGACCCAGACCATCCTGGCCAACATGGTGAAACCCCATCTCCACTCAAAATACAAAAAATTAGCTGAGCATGGTGGCACACACCTGTAGTCCCAGCTACTCGGGAGGCTGAGGCAGGAGAATCACTTGTCCCAGGAGGCGGAAGTTGCAGTAAGGAGAGACGGCACCACTGCACTCCAGCCTGGCGACAGAATGAGACTCTGTCTCAAAAAAAAAAAAAAGCAAGGAAATGAAAGAACAAAGTAGTTGCAGAATGGGAGGCAGCAGAGAGGTTACAACACAGGATACATAGGGGAAAATAGAGGGACATGAGAATACGAAGACTAGCTAGATTGTAAATGCCTTGTGAAATAAAAGCTAACTGCTTAAACCCTTCTTCTAGAACAGCTGACTGTAAAAATAACAGAAAATTGTCACTAATTTGTTCCTTAATAAAAAGGACTACTCTAATTCCTATTACCCAAATACATATGGCAACAATAACTCATAAACCACACTAAACTCCCTAAACTACTTATAAAAGAAACCTGGTGATTGATAAAGCTCCCAATGCAAGATATAATATTCACTTGAGTTCTAAACTAGTAACTATCATTTTAAGAAGTCAATATAAAAGAAAAATCTCTGATGAAACAACAGACAATACACTTTTTATTTTCATAAAGTTATCGTCACTAGAAAAGTAAAAATTTTTCCTATTGGTCAGGCTAAAAGAAACAGGAAAATAAGAGTAATTTTGCCAAAATAGTGAATCAGAAAATAAGTGTCTAAATATCCAGTCTAATATTAGCCTTCTCAAAAGTCAGCTTTTTCATACCTATTGGTAAAAACAAATGAACAGAGGAACACTTGAATCATTGGTTTAACACTGTATCCCTGTACCTAGACACACGGGGAGGCACTCTATGAATGACTGTGGAAATTAACCAGGTAAGACTTGTGGCTTGCTCAATGTATTGTTTTGTCTTAAAAATCAGCAGAAACTTTGTGACCAGTCACCTTTGCTGAAAAGGTTGGAGTTTCTTCACAAGCATTTTAAAGTCAGTTATGAATCACATGCACCACAAAAGAACTTAGTGCTAAGGAAAATAAAGTCTGTGAGTTAGGAAAGAGAAAAACTTAAAAAACACTACAGAAACCGATATATGCAGTTATCTTAAATGCAGTTATGTGGGCTATAAGAAAACCAAAATGACGTAAAAATTCTATTCATGTGACGAACATTAGACAAAAAAGATATAATATTGCTTAACCAATGCACTAAGGTGTTATATATCTGTTATCTAATATGTAACACTTGCTGTCGACCCTATGCTTATACTGAAGTTAAATAAGTCAGAAATTTGTGCTGTTTTACTTATGCTGTGAACGGAATTACACAGTTTAATGCCAAAGTACATTTATTCTATATGGATTCGTCCAAGCTGGAATTTTATAGAACAGGCCAAACACATTCGCACTTTGAAAATGCAATCACAGACTTACAGTGATAGCTGCAAGCAAAGTTCAACTGTTTAACAATCACAATTTAATCGGCTCACAAGACTTATACACTGCATGTATCCAAACAGTGTATGTATACGATAAATATGCATATTATGTATCAATAACAAAAACAGGATGGAAGACTTTTTACACAAACGCTTTGAATCACATAAAATTAATCCCCATTAAGATATAAATGATTTATCAACATTTTAAAACATCTCATATCACTACAATCATAATCTTTCGATATGGAAATCTGAATCTTTCAGTGAAGGTATGGGCTCTGCTAATCAATCAACAACTATGGGAGAAGGAAGGATACACACGTTTCACTCTTTTGTAAGAATCTGTTCATCCTTCAGGGCTCAGGTCACATTACTCAACAAATATTTCTTAGTGCTTCTCATATACCAGGTACTATTTAAGGACCTAGTGCAAACTAAGATGTTGCAAATGTTGAAGTAGAAACAACTGCCACCGGCCAATATGGCAACTGAGCACTTGAAGGGTGGTGGCTACTGCAAACAGAATAACTTAATTTTTAATTTTATTTAATTAATTCAAATCGAAATAGCCAAATGTGGCTAGTGGCCACCAGATTGGACAGGGCAGCCCAGTCCTAAGTATAGAGGTAAACAAGATAGACAAAAATGTTACCTTTGTGAAGTTTATAATCCAGTGTAATAGAAAGATATTAAACAAATAAACCAATAAATACATAATGTTTAAGGTGGTCTTGGAAGTGGTCCCTTTGGGAAGGGTGTTTAAGGAAGGCCTCTCTAAAGAAATCTGGATTATGTACATGCCTGTCTATATACTCTTATGAACCCTACACTAACATATAGCACAGAAATCTATACAAATGCTTGTCTTGTTCAGCTGTACTCTAGCACCTACCATAATATAGTTCCTGACCAAGTGTGCAGAAGTAATCTGCAAAGCTCCCCAAACTGATCCAGTCATATAGTGTTCAAAATACACCAGTAACTCAGAATTTAAAAAACGTGGGGAGAGAACACAGCAAAAACAATCTGCTCTTTCCTCCCAACCAGTCTCAAGCAGCTTTTGAGCCTCACTTCAAAACACAGCATTGCGGAGCAAAGATCGCCTTCTCCTTTCTTCTCATCCCCGGCTTCTACTGTAAATGAAGTCGCTTAGCCTCTGCCGCATCACACTCTTCAGCTATTGCAATACTTTGAACAGGCTGCTTCACGCAACACCGCACCTCTTTCGCCTACCATTAGATTTACAGTTCCCATGAAGTTTCTAAGACCTTAGAGGTTCTCTGCCGCTCCTACATATAAAACACCATACAGACACTCTATTAAGAGTTAATGACTTTACAGAGGACAGAGATGCATAGGAGTATTCATCTAAAAATACGACGACAAACTTTGTCCTTTTCCTTTCACACTCGGAAGTAACGAGGCAAAGCGACAGGCTATGAGAAGGAGTAAAAAAGAAGCTCAGAGTTGCCAGAAAATAATGGGAAGTGAAAACGGCGGAAACTGGAGATTCTACAGCCCTGGATGTACAGCCTTCCAGACCTTCCCACCGTACGGCGGGGGAGTGAGAGTAACCTCAAGCCCGCTTGAAACCAGTCAGTGCCAGGTGGGCGGCGGCGCAGTCCCCTTCGGGCGCCCAGTTTGCGGTCCAACTCCGCCGCGCCTTTCCGCTGGGGCCCGGGCCTTGTGCCAGCCTGGCTGACTGTGCCACCAGTTACCTGCTTGTCTCGAGCGAAGAGTAGCGCTCCGGCAAAACCTGGAGGCAGCGCTGGAAAAATCGCACGTGCCGATCCCGCAAGAAATCCAGCCGCTCCCCCTCACCGCTCCCTGCTAGCCTCTCGTCCTCAGTGGCCGCCATGCTGCTCCGGAAGCGACGTCCGCCGCGACCCGGAATCAGTTGGCGCGCGGAATGAAAGAACCCTCCTGGGCTGACCCGGAGGTGCCGGGTGAGGGAACCTGTGCTCGCCACAGACTAAGCCAGTGTTTGAAACCGCTATCATCTGGGTCTTGTGCAGCACTTCCTCTCTCCATATCTCCTTAGCTAGAGCATGACCCAGCCATTTCTACCCAAAGCCCTCGAGGCTTGTAAACACCTCGCAGGCTTGTGAAAATCCAGTCCACATATCCCTCCGTCAGAATTTTTATCTTGGGAAGCCCAAGGTCAAAAGCATCAAGTTCGCTTTGAGACAATGCTGGCTCTGTAGAACCTGAGGATGGTATATCTGAAAACGGGGATGGATCACTATAAACTTGCTAACAGATTCATTTTTGGAGGGCCAGTTTTAAGCTGAACGGTTAGGGAAACGAAACAAAAAGCAAAAACAAAACAGTGGAGATAAATGTTTATTGACACTACGAAAGTTCAGAGACTTTCCTAATCCTAATCCTTTCTGGATACCAGAAATCACTTAAAAATCTGTATATAATGCCCCCAAACATATACAACATGCATATTCATATCTATGTGTGACTGCTTGCGTCATGCTTTTACAAATCCTAGATTTTACTTTCCTTGAGTCCACGTGTTATCAAGAATCAATGGTGCATCAATCTGCAACAGCAAAATAAACCCAACATCTTCTCCAATTACCTGCATTCTAAAAAAAATTAAACGTGCTTCTAGTTCCCCCCCCCCATAGGAATTTAAGTTGTTTTAGCCATTATACTATGCCCTTTAAATGTTCATGAGGCATTCCTGGGTAGCGGAGTGGGGGGATCCACCCAATAATAGAACTAAACTAGGTTACCTGTAATCAACTTAACTAATAAAATTTTGGGTATAGTTTTGTTAGCTTTCTTAGAAAACGTAATTCTTATACTCTATGGGGCGGTATTCCTGCATGTCTTTACAAAATACTACATTAACAAACTGCCAGAGATGGATACTAGGTTGTCCTCGGTACTTTCCTACAAATACGGAGCTCACAGTCCTTGCCCATCAGGTATGCCCAGTCTGGAGTTTTCACTGTTATTACAATTAAGATCTCTCACTTAGCACACATACCCCCAAATACCTGAAGATTTTCAATGTGGAGTCTTATACACGTTTAACTTACTGGAATCAGCTATGGACACTCTATACATTCTCAGAAAATTAATTCTAATAAACATGGCCCTTAAGTTAGGGAAACCAAATATTTCATCTGATTCTCAGTTCAAGGACTAGCAATCTGATCCAAATCTGGAGGAAAAAATTTGCGATGTGGGACTCATTGAGAGATAATATAGAATGCCTCCTGGGTTGGTAAAAGGTTTCCATGAGTGATTTTAGCCATGTAAGATTTTTGGCATATGCATAACAGAATGGGAATGATAGAACATCTATATAATTGAATATTATTTAGCCACTACATGATGATGTCTGAATTATGTAGAAATGTACGAAAATGTGTAATGCAATTATGGCATAGTAATTAATATGTACTATATGACTGTAACAATTTAAAAATATGTAGGTATGTTTTTTGTAAAAGTTACCCTGGAATTATGAGTACTTTATAACATTTCTTCTTTAGTGTTTTTTCTATATTTCTTATTAATGTACTTTTTTTTTTTCCAGGCTTACTTCACTTTATTTTTCTTGTACAACCCTATGTTGTAGCCACCACTGGAGCCTGGGTCCTCTGCACAGAGACTCTGGTGTGGGTCTTGAGGAGGTGGTCAGTGAATTCCTGATAGGGAGCCTTGGTGAATACAGTCTCCTTCCAGAGGTCAGGGGTCAGCCTGCTGTAGGCCTTAGAGATGGCATCAAAAACGACCATGGCGAAGTTGCGCAGGATGGCAGTGCGGCCCTTGACTGAGGTGTAGCAGTCATCCATACCAGCCATCAGCAGCAGCTTCTTGGCCATGGGGGCCAACGATGCCAGTGCCCCTGGGTGCAGGGATGACCTGGGCCAGCACAGAGCCGTTGCAGCCTGTCACCTTGCAAGGGATGGTGTGGGGCTTGCCAATCTTGTTCCCCCAGTAGCCTCTGCACATGGGCACAACGGAGAGCTTGGCCAGGATGATGGCCCCGTGGATGGCAGTGGCCACCTCCTTGGAGCTTAACACCCAGATCAGTGTGGCCATTGTGCCGGATGGCAACAAACACCTTAAACCTGGTGCATTGGCTGGTGCGGGTCTGCTTTTGCACTGGCATGTGTTCAAAACTTCATCCTTGAGAGAGGCCCCAGGAAAAAGTCAATGATCACAGACTCCTTGATAGGTAGAGAGAAGAGACAGATCGCCTCCAGGGACTTAATCTTCATGTCCTTGACCAGGCGGCCCAGCTTGGTGACAAGCATCTACTCCTTGGCCTTGGCCTTGCCTCCGGGAGCTCCGCGGCTGGCCCCGACCCACTCTATGGCCGCGATCCCAGTTCCCCATCTCAGGGCCAGCTGTGACCCCAGTTCCCCATCCCAGGCCCCCTGCTGCACTGGCGTCATCCGCGATTTGGTGTTTTCTCGGAGAAGAAGCTAGTGTACTTTTTAAACCAGTAAAAGAAATGTTTATTTGATATCTAGTTTATGAACTTGTAACTTCTATGAACTCTGTAACTGAAGATATTTGTGTTTATCTTACATCTTTTATGTAAAGGATCTATATAATAAATTCATCATTTATTTCAGATTCAGCTAGAAAAACTGATTTCTTCGGAGGAACTTCCATACTTTTATTTAAAAAAAAAAAATCAAAAAACAAAGCCATAAGAATCACATCATGCAGAATGCTTACCTTAGATACAGGAATTTGAAAGCTGCATTTCCGTGCAACAAAAAGCAACATGTAAAAAGCAATATGTAAGAAACGTTTTTTGTATCTTGTAGCTTCTCAGTTCTGCTTTTAAATTCCCTTATCTTGCTCTATATTTTATTTATGTATTTATTTTTGGAGATGGAGTCTCACTCTGTTGCCCAGGCTGGAGTACAGTGGCGCAATCTCAGCTGACTGCAACCTCCGCCTTCCAGGTCCAGGCGATTCTCCTGCCTCAGCCTCTCAAGTAGCTGGGAGTACAGGCGTGAACTACCACACCAGGTTAATTTTTGTATTTTCAGTAGAGACGGGGTTTTACCATGTTGGCCAGGCTGGTCTTGAATTCCTGACCTCACGTGATACGCCCACCTTGGCCTCCCAAAGTGCTGGAATTACAAGCCTGAGCCACTGCGCCCAGCCTCTATATTTTATCTCTAAACGACTTCAAATCATTACAAAAAAGTTTTGGAAAAAAAGTAACAAAACCAGCACTCCTGTTTAAGGATCTTTTAGGTCAATTTTCTCATTCTGCCCAATAACTGTACAAATCAGAATTCAGTTTCTAAAATTTGGAAGCCATCTACTTTGAATATTAACTATAAAATAAGAAAAGATTTTGATCACTACTCATAGTACATTTCTGAGTCATTTAACCTAAATGCATCACATTAACAACGAAAGATAAAGATTATCTAAGACAAAAATTGTAAGAAATAAATTTCCTATGTTTTTATGTATATAGTATCTTTCCTATGAGAACAAATTAAAGTTAGAAAGGAATATTTTATAATATGAAAAGTTGAACTGTATTCAATTACATTGTGTTTTCATGTATAAAAGTTTAGAAATTTAAGAACTAACTCTTTTGACCAAATATGTTAATCTAACAGCTTTAAAAGATCTTATTTCTTCATTCCTTCCTTCATTCATTTTAGAGACAGGGTCTCACTCTCTCACCCAGGCTGGAGGGCAGTGGTGCCATAGTAGCTCACTGCAACCTGGAATTCCTGGGTTCAAGTGATCCTCCTACCTTATCCTCCCAAGTAGCTGGGACTACAGGTGTGTGTCACCATACCCAGTTAATTAAATTTTTTTTTCATAGAGACAGGGTCTCCCTGTATTGCCCATGCTAGTGTCAAACTCCAGGCCTCGATTCTCCTACCTTGACCTCTGAAAGTGCTGGGATTACAGGCATGAGCCACCATGCCCCACCTGAAACATTTTAAGTGCTATCAAGAGAAATCACAGTATTCTAAAGCTGGCTTATTTCAGATGATGTTTCAGAACAAAGAATTTTCCTATTTTGAGGCAAACAGAAGCAGAAAAGAAAACTGCATTAGCCAGGAAGATGTGAAAGACACGAAGATTTTATAAATGTGTGCAATCCAGAAGGGCTGAAGGAAAATTTGGGATTGCTGAAGGAAACCAAAAAGATTATATCAATAATACAATTAATAGGGTATATGAGAGACATATTTTTAAAATAAATATTCTCTATACAAAACAAAGCATGCTTCAAACAAATACAAAATATTTATTACACAAAAATGTCGTAACTGACAAACTGCCAATTTGTTAAACATAGAAAAAGTACTAACATTTCATAACTCTGAACAAAAACCACTTTACCTTTTTGTTACTCAAGCTAACTTAACTCCAAGTTACAAAAGTTACAAAATTTTGGTTTAAAAAATGTCATTGTATGATTGTTCCAATTTATTTTGCTATGCTATGACAAAAACAAAATCTCTTTGAAATGTTTTGAGTATTTAAATAATGTTTGTAACATTAACTTATTTAAATAACTTTTACATCAATAATAGGCCAACACATATATTAAATACCTTCGTGGTAGAAGCAGGAATACTAATGACAAAGCCTCATGAAACTTAATACCTCTCAATTCACAATATAGCACAATAATCAATCTGACTAGGCTATTTATATTTAAAGAACACAGTTAGTCACTTTCTCCCTGGTATAACTTAGTATGTTAACATTCTTATCAACTGAGTAGCAATTTCATTATCTCATACTCTTCTCTGTATTCCTTGTCTCCAGGTTGGAATAGCCCTAAGGAGAAAAAGAGAAAAGCGATTGTAAATATATAGGAAATTAAAAAGAAAAAAACCCTATCTGATTAAATGCTAACTTTAAA